ACTTCCGAAGTACACATCCTTTGGATCATATACGTTCCTAATCCCCGTCACATGGTTTGTGGAGTATAATCTTGGCTAGATCTCTCGTTAATAAAGGGCTAATCAAAAGAGTTGGGTCGGGTTGTTCAATCTTTTTAATGAAAAGATCCTTGGTACCATCCTCTCGCCCGAGATTAGCCACTTGTACAGGTTTAACTATTTCCTGAACCTCATGGTTAATCATCTGATTGACCCAGCGACAATACGTGGAATTTGGATTTGATAAATGCAATTATTGACCCAGCTGATGTGGAATTAGTTCTTGCTATACCCATTAGTAGTTCATATCGAGCCGATACACTTGGATGGTATTTTACAAAGTTTGGAAAATATACAGTAAAATCAGGGTATCAAATGGAACAATTTTTTGCAACTGTTTCTGAAATAGTTTATGGCCCAGATATCAAGCCATTGTTAGCACATACATGGACATTAAAATGTTCACCGAAGTGAAGACATTTTATTTGACAAGTAATTTCAGGATGTCTATCAGTATTGGCCAGGTTAACAAACCCATGGAATTCAATGCGATACACAATGTGCACGGTGTGGAGCAGAGGAAGAAACTATTTATCATGTTGGTTTTGAATGTCCTCCGCTTTAGAAACATGGTCCCTATCTCAAATACCAACTCTTCCTGGAGTTTTTTCATTATCATCGGTTTTTTCAAATTTTGATATTTTTAGGAGACTCTCTAAGGAGACAGAAACTTTACAATTTCATTGGATTGTGTGGTACATTTGGAAGGTTAGGAACGATAAGGTGTATTGGAATACGGACATAGATCCACTAACCACTTTGAAAATTGCAGAAACTGAGGTGACATTATGGGCGGTAACACAAAGATCTGAACAAGAATTAACTCCACCTCATAATATCAGTTTTTTGGGATATCTGACTCCAATCACATATGGAGATTGGTGGTGTTATTGATGGTTCTTCGAAAGAGTCAGATTTATCATCGGGATTAGGCTGATACTATTTTAAGGAAACTGATATGG